ATGGAAATATACACTGCTTTCCAGACATGCGCGCAGAGGGATAAAGAGAGGCTACTTCCATCGAGTAGGATGAGGAAAATCGGAATGATATTTTCCACTAGAATATGGAAATATGAACTGCTTTCCAGCCATGCGCACAGAGAGACATAGAGTGAGGCTACTTCCATTGATAGGATGACCAAAATTCATCGGCGAACAACCGAACCCTTGGAACCTCGACCTTCCACCATTACTGATGGGGTAAGACTATGCCTTCACCATATTCACTACAGTCAATATGGAAATATACACTGCTTTCCAACCATGCGTGCAGAGAGACAGAGAGAGGCTACTTCCATTGATAGGGTGAGCAAAATGAGAATGAATCTTTTGCTAGAACAACGAAGGCACGCCAGACATCCCATATATATAACGGAAATATACACTGCCGCTTTTCTTTACTTTTCTTTTTTTTCCTGTGTTTGTGTGTGTGTTTGCAATGAACACGCCGTGATTCCCTCTCTCTCTCTCTCTCTCTCTCTCTCTCTCTCTCTCTCTCTCTCTCTCTCTCTCTCTCTCTCTTTTCTTTGTTGTTCCGGCCTTCTGCTTGCCCGCCATTCCCCCTTTCCTGTTTTGTTTCCTTAAAATTTTCCTTTTTTGTGTGTTTTTGCAAGGAAAATAAGCAATAGCGAGATGACAATTCCAGATCACATCATCACATTGAAAGCCAGATAGTCACACCGTGTCCAGAGAGCAGCATTGCACCAATAATAGACCAATGGAGGTTCGTAGCACTGAAAACCAATGTTCATGGAGGCACACTCTCTCCTCTCAACACAAGAGTCCAGTTTCGTTACACTCACACTTGGCGCCCAGCGCCCAGCCTACTCCTACACAATTACTACAAACTACGAAATGACAATGCCACTGTTGGCATTAGCGGCAGCCTGAAGTACTTGAAGATGTCGCCCATGTAGATCATCGCCGATACAAGGTAAGTGCCCTCACATCATCATCATCATCATCCTTCACCTATCCCCTGACTACACCCACGTTTGTCCTTTGTTTCACCCGGAGACCGCCAT